CCACAGTCATCACAGGCTGTCTCTGTGGCATCCAGAGCTGCCCTCTGGTTCCTTCACGTGTCCGTACATGTCATGCRCAGCCTCTTTGGCAGAAATGCTCACCTTTGTGTTAAAGCGGTATTTTCATCCCACTGGCACTCAGTTTCGCAACCGGGTTCAACAAGGACCCATTACAGTTTCTGAGCCACTCTGGTCCCTGCTTCCTGTTCACATCCTTATGATTTTGCTCTTTCAGGGTGAGGCATTCATGCCATTTCAGGATGTGATGCTGTGCCTTGRAAACATCAGCACTGCTATGTCCCATAGATTAAAAGCAGAAGCACTGTTCCTCAGTGTGTTGCTGGGGCATTAGTATGTTTCTGCTGGCCTTGGAGGTTAGAGCCAGAGTGATTCTGCCTCACTCAAAGGAAAGTTCGATTCACCAGTTTGATCCATGGCAGGGTTTATGAAGAGCTCCTGATACCCCCACTGTGAGCTAGTTTAATTGCCAAGCTCAGGAAGAGTTGCTTCTGCACCATGGATGTGCCTTTTCTAACCACATCCCTGACACTGACACGTTTTCTCTGCTGCCCTTTGTCCACTTGCTTTTATCCCATTGACATTTGGTTTCACAACTGGGTTCARTGAGGGCCTGTCACAGTCTGTGAGCCACCTCTGGGCTCTGCTTCTGGCTCAGCTCTCCCTGCCCTGGTTTTCTTCTCTAGTTGTAAAGCCTCCCATTAAGGCACYTTGAAATCAACATAAAGCATAGGCATTCACATTTATATATTTTAAAGTTAATATTGCTGTTTATTCTGGTGGTGTGTAATTGCTCCATTCCTTGCTGAGATGGTGGCTGGAAARCTTCAGAGGTTTTCTCAAGGAGGAGAGCCACTGTGACATCTGTCAAGCTGCATTTCTGTGCTTCTCCTTCCAAAACTTTCAGTAACATGCATGCAATCTTTCCTACAATTTTGCTGTGATTATAAATGGTTTTCAGCCACTCTGGGCTGGGGCAGGAGGCCTTAATTGTGCACTTGTGTTCTCTTTCAGAGCCATCTTTCCTCCTCCTCCTTGTCCATCTGCCTTTTGGTACCGCCTGTGCCTGCCCGCCTGGCAAGTCAGAGCATGTCTGGACTCTGTGGATGAGATGCAGAAGATGGCAGAGCTGCTGGGGCTCAGGGATGAGAGCRGGGAGGGGGCTTCGGGGGCTCCTGCCCTCTCTGACTCCTGCCTTGCAGACAACAGACTGAACCTGGATGTTTATCCTGACGGCTGCTGCCGTTTCCTCCAGCTATTCAAGGAGCWACGGGGAGAGGTGGTCCAGGTCGAGTTCCTCCGGCTCAGCAGCAATGATTGTCTCCTTGACACYACATTGGGCAGCCTTCCTCATCTGAAGCAACTGAAATCCCTGGTGCTCAAAGGTAAATTCCTGGCCCCATCACCATCTAACTTTTCTAGGCTCAGATTTTTTGTTAATCCTTCTCTTGACATCTGCAGGGCAAACTGCTCTTTGAAGTGTTTTATTCCAGTGCCGGTTACCTCAGCTTTGTCTCAGCCTTGCTCAAAGCTGGATGCAGATTTCAACAAGATACAGCTTCTGGACTCTTATTTCCTCTCTTTGTTTCTACAGATGCCTGGGGACCAGGTTTTTTTGTCAGGTTGGGTTGGTGGTGCAGCATTTTCAATAGCCATTCTCTAGAAGAAGAGCACTTTGTGCAGTTACGCAAGAAGAGGGGGATTGAAAGGTGTTGAATCTTTTGGTAAATGTTCARCCCCTCTTTCATTTTTGAGAGTATAATAAGCTGTCTTTGCTGTGTTTTCATCTGAATCAGTCCATACTTAGTCTTTGCTTACTGCCAGGTTGTTGGTTGAGCAGAGTTCAAAACAGACCAGGAGACGCTGTTCAACATTTTATCAAAAGTAGGACACAGGGTGTGCGTGTAATTTTGCAGAGTGTAATAACTGTTAGGGCTATAAATATTAGATCATTCTTTGACTGTCTTATCTATTTATTGTGGGAGGATCTCAATGCAGTTTATATAATTTCTGTTTCAGATTGAATCATTTGCTCTTTGAGAGGTAGAATTTTTTTAAATAAATGAGAAAAAAAAGGAGGAGTTTGGGGGCCGAATTCAGGGTTCTAGTTGAAAACTGAAAAGTCTGAGGTTTATTTCTATATCTTTCACAAATTTCTCATGTGAATAATTTGATTTGTCTTTTCCCCTTTAATAAGGTGACAATAACAGCACTATCTCTTATCAGTCTTGTTTTGTGAGATATACACACACCCTGAGCATCCTGAAGTGCAATAAAGTGGTTCACTAAGATCTTCTTRTATATAAAGTGCAATGTGCCTGTTAGTTTGGTTGTTGTAATTTTGTACCATTATGCAGCATAAAAAAAAAGTCTGGTGCCCTCTGCTGTATATGGATATAAATAGAAAACAGTGGAGAGGGACTTTGAAACAAAGAACAAATGGGAAAGTTTGGAAGTTTCCTTTTGTTTGCTCAAATTATTTTCCATGAKTTCAGATCTTCTCCAGTTTGAGTGTCACAAGCTGGGGTAGGGAACTTGCATTCTTCCCTCTCTGTGCACTCTGGCTACAAAATACTGAATAACCTACTTTTTTCCCCATATTTTCACAGGTTTTTTCATATCTGCCCTCCAGTTTTACAAGGGCAGATCTCAGTCCTCAGGGCTGTTTGCTTCTCWACAGCACGGACAAAGCCTTGAGGGCAAGAACTATTTCCTTGATCCATAAAGTATTGTGTGTTGGCCACTGGTGCGGAAAAAGTGGGGAAGGAGTGTGGGAGGCTTGGAGGTGTATGGACCACCCTGCTGAAGGTGGTAAATGTGRGGGGTGGCCTGGCTCGTTCTGAGCTTTGACTCAGATGTGTTTAGCAGRGCTGGACTGGTTCCCTGTGGCATCTCTTGATATCCTAACAGGTCTTCACCATTACATCCCTTTCACTGATCAGRAAACTGAGGCATGCAGCGGAAAACTGACCTCTCTGAGTACTTCATGATTAGTGCAGCTCATTGTGATCAGGAACTGCCCATCTTGTGGATCTCTGTGTGAAGGAGTCTCACATGAGGCTGGTGAGCTGTTCTGGTAGAATACTGACCTTTTCCTCCACTGTCCTCCACCCAGGTGGCCATGCCATGGATGAGTTTGGTTGCTATCAGCATGGCTCCCTCACGAGCTTGCCACCARACTTTGGGAATCTGAGGTGTCTTACCCACCTGGATCTCAGCTTCAATAGACTCTCCAGCTTGCCGAGCTGCATTATCCACCTTCCCAGCCTCCGTGTGCTCCTGGTGAGCCACAACAGCCTGGTGACRCTTCCTGAGGACTTCGGCTGTCTGAGCAAGCTGACTTTCTTCTCTGCTATGAAAAATCAGCTGAAGTTCTTGCCTCAGAGCATTGGGGAGCTGTCAATGCTGCAGAATCTGGATCTCTCAGAAAATGTTTTGGAATTGCTTCCTGAAGAAGTTGGGAATCTGCACAGCTGCACAGAGCTGGATCTCTCTGGGAATCGCTTATTGGCCATCCCAGACACCCTAGGTATGTATTTTACAGGGGAAAAGAAGGACATGGGCTTGCTAAGCTTTTGGTACAGCCTAGGACCATGGATACCTCTAGTCTCTGTTCCCAGAGCTGTTAGCATAAACCATGTTGTATTGGAGACAAACAGAATCCAGAAGGATCATGCTTGGTTCAGTCAGTGATTTTGAGCATTAACAACTCACTGGACCACACTTTCTGCTTCTGTGGATCAGTGACACTGCTGAGATCTCAAAACAATTTACAATGACCAAAGTCCTGTATTACTTTGTGCTGGAGGTTGCTACTGATGCTCTTACAAAAGTGTCTTGCATCTTCATTCATAGCTGGGTGCTGAAAAGCAGAGGACAGAGGAGGCTGTGTTGCCTCTCAGCTAATTCCTTGCACTCCTTTTACTTTTGTGAGCTAAAGAGATGCTGGCTTTTGTGCTTTTCCCTCATTATGTGTGTGTTTACATGGGATGAGGAGAGAGGGAGTGTTAGAGCTGCTGTGCAATGCAATTAACAGCACGGATGGGGGGTCACTTCTTGTTCTAACCTGCAGCCAATTTGAAGTCTCTGCGTCGGCTGCATCTCCACAGCAATCTCCTGGTGACAGTCCCTGCCTCGCTTGCCAGCCTGCCCAACTTGTCCAGACTTGATCTGCAGAACAACCGCCTCCGTGCCATCCCCGCTGAGATCCAGTCCTTGCCGTTTGTGCACATCCGAGGCAATCCCTTGGGAGAAACTGAGCCATTCCTACTGGCTGGTAATTGCAAGGCTTCTGCTGCTGTGTGTTCTGCCCAGCTGTTCCCTCACTCAGCCCAGCATGGCGTAGATGGGTTTGGATTACAGAAGACAAGCAGGGGGGAATCAGATCAGCATTTATTTGTCTGGAATAATTATTAGGTTTTAAGGATACAGACAGWACTAATTATGTTTTTGTGAGGCAAATCCAAGTCTAAAGGGCTCAGTGGTCCCTGGAACTGGGCTTTCTTGGTAGGGTTTTACCTTGGAAGTGAAAATGGGATTCACAGGAAATTGATCACGAGAGATCCCTAAAGGAGTCCAGCCTTTTTAGCAGAGGTGAGCACCAGTTCCTGGACTTATGCATGGCCCTAAGGCTGTGGTGGCTCATGCTAGAGCTTCAAAGAGTAGCAAGAGGTCATTCTTCTGTGCAGTCACCTCCTGCTTTCCTGAGGTTCATAGGCTGCAGAGGAGCAGTTCTTCATCCAAGAGGAAGGTGATGAATGAGCAGGAATCTGAGCAGGTTTTCATGTTCACAAGAGCAAGCATTGATTCCCAGAGGGGGTCCTAGACAATCTGACATGGCCTTGAGAGCTGCAAGGGTGGTAGACTAAAATATTTTCTAATTCCCTCTGCTTTTGAGTTCCCCTGGGGGAGAGCCAGCATTTTATCTTGGGACCTCGAGGCCTCTTGCCATCTGCTCACTGCAGTGTGTTGTGGAGCCTGCTGCAGCGTGACCATTAGCAACTTCTGTCAGACTAGGATTAAACCAAAACTGTTCAGCTTTTCTTGTCTTCCTTGGTTTAAGTAACCTCTGTCTCCTTCTCCTACCCAAATCATCTYATTGCCACAGATAAACCCAGTACCAGGAGGCTACAAAGACTCTTCCTTGCATCAGGAGAGGGCAGGTAAGCCTCTGTCATTAAGAACTTGCACTACTGTGATGTAACAAGGTCCCAGACRAGAYTGGTGCATGGAGGGTATTGCAGGCCTATAGCCTCAGTAGGCCAGTCAAACACAAGTATGAGAGTTTTCTGTTGATTTTTGGAGGGCTGCAGTCATTGCACAGTGTCATACATTCATGCATTTCTTCTGGAAGCTTCACTGTGAGCTCTGACGGCTGCATAGTGGTCCTGGCCTGTGGCATCCGTTTCTACTTTCCGCCGGGGGCTGCCTCTCATCCTATGTGGATCTGTTTCCGATCCCTCGCGCCGGATCCTCAGAGGGTAAAGCTGAGGCACCACGATGTCCTGCTGAGTAGAGTCCTGGAGCTGCAGCCTCATGGGGTCCAATTCCAGCAGGTGAGGATACAGCCAGGTCACCTCATGATGAATCTGCCTTTGCAGTAGCTCAAAAGAGTCTTCTGTGGGAGCCTTTTGGGATCTGTGAAGCAATTATGCCCATCCCTGCTGCTTTTAAGTAGCTGCAGGACTGCCTCTCAAAGAAGCCCTGCTGCAGAGGATCAGAAAGGACACGGTCAGCTTCTGTGGTGCTTTGCTGGCCTGGCACCCTTGCCTTCCCCACTGCTCCTGAGTGAGCTGAGCTATAACCTTTCTCACTCACAATCCCCTGCTGTATCAGAGGATAAGCCCAGCACCTGGCCTTAGCCTGCAACGAGAATGGTTTGCATTTGTGTTGGTTTTACTTGGCCCAGTTTTTAGAGGTGGGGGGGCCAAAAAGATGGCGCCTGTGAGAAGCTTCTGGAGGCTTCCACCATGTCCAGCAGAGCCAATTGCTGTTGGCTCTGAGGATGATGGACATGCCACTGATCAAACCTGGGCCAATTAAAGATAGTGGTTACGCCTCTTTATTTAAGAAGAAATCAAAACAAAGGGCACWCAGAGTAGTTTTGCCAGTGGAGGAGACTGAGAAATATGTGAAGCATGCAGACACCAAGGTCAGTGCAGGAGGGGGAGGAGCTGCTCCAGGCGCCGGAGCTGGGATTTCTTTGCGGGCCGTGGTGATGACCATGGTGGAGCAGGCTGTCCCCCTGCAGCCCATGAGGTCCACAGGGGGTGCAGGAGCCACCCGCAGCCCGTGGAGGAGGGAGGTCCCCACGCCGGAGCGGGCGGACACGGGAAGCGGGCTATGTCCAGCAGGAGACCCATGGAGAGAGAGGCCTTGCTCCCGAGATGGAACTGCCTGGTCTTCTGACTGTACCCGGTGGACAAGAGAGCCCACGGTGCAGCAGTTTGGGCACGACTGTCTGCCCGTGGGGAGACTCACGCTGCAGCAGATGTGTGTGGCCTGCTGCTCGTGAGAGTGGAGCCACGCTGAAGAAGTTCATAGAGAACTGTCTCCCGTGGGAGGGACCCCACGGCAACGCAAGAAAAAGAATCTTCTCCCTCAGCTATCACAGAGGATCCGGTGATGAACTGACCAACCCCACACCCTGTTTCGTTCCTGCTGCTTTGTTGTATGTGAGAAGCGGGGAGGGAGTGGGGAGAAGATCGGTGTCTTTGAGRGTTGTAATTTATTTCTCATTCTCCTCCTCTGACTTAGTTAGTAATAAATTCACTTGATTATTTAAGTTGTGCCTGTTTTGTCCATTGAGTGTTTTCCTCCCTGTTCCTTATCTCAACGCATGAACCTTTTTGTTAGTTTTTCCCCCCCCTTCGCTCTTCTCTACCCGGTGTAGTGGTGGGGGAGAGCGAATGAGCAGGTGTTGTAAGTGCCTGGCTTTTAGCCAGCATTCCAAACCGCAACACATTCTTCTCTAAAAGTCTGATTGTGATTGCATTCAAGCTGGGGAGTAGTTCCACCACCAGCCCCATCATGGTTGACAGCAGCTCGCTGCAAAAGTTCCTTTGCCCTTCCTGCTCAGAAGCTGCTGAAATTTTTCCTACCATCACAGTCCATAGCAGACCTGACATTTCCTGTCACCTCCCTGGAGGCTGCAGGGGAGAGCAGGTTCTTTCACTGCTGCATACAGGCCATGCTCTGCCCTCACTCTTCTTGTCAGCGTAGGAAGCCACAGAGCAGAGCTGGGCTTGGTTTTGTTCTTTCTATTGGTGTCTCACAGGAATGCTTTTTTTTGCCAGGAGGTGCAGATTTGGATGCCATATATCTCCCCTCAAACTCCTCACCAGCATGAGGTGGTGGTTCGGACCTTCAGTGGGCAGAGCTGGAGTGATYTGAGAACAAGAGTGAAGCAGAAGACAAAATCAAAGGTAAGCAGATTGAAATTAGCAGTGACACACTTCGTTCTATTCYCCTCTTTGGTTTTGCCTAGCCAAGAGTGAAACATCTCATGAGCTGTGCTTTGACCAGCTGCTATAAAATGTAGTGGATTTCAGCTCCAGGTTTCCTCTSTCATGGAGGTGTGTCTCCTGAACGTGATGAGTTGCAGCCTGCTGAACTTCATCCTTGTTCTGCTACTTTCTTCTGCTTGGCTGGTACTCATTTTCCTGCCTTTATTCTATTAAGTTATATGCCTATATCTTTTCTTCCCTGTCTTCTGTTACAGAGGTGTGTGGCCCACTGTCGTGTCCTTCACTTCTCTTGGTTCCTTGTTGTGTCTCGACTCGTGCAAAATGAATGCAAAGTGCCAGCAGAGGGGACATTGCTCTTTTCCAGTGTAGATCCAAACATCAAAGTGACCTTTCCTCCTGGAGTGACCAGAGAGCCTCGTAGTGTCAAGATGCAGGTATGCATGCTTTAAAAAACAAGCTTTGGTGAGCTCTGATGCAGCTGTTGTCTCATATCCAGTGCAAAACTGTGCACGAGATGTCTGCCCTAGGGTAAYTCATGTCTAGACATGGTTGCTTCATGGGCTGGCCCATCTGAGATCACCTTCTCTCTTAACTTCCCTGCCTGCAACATGGGCTGTGCTACRTGTTGACCTGTGTGGGAAAGGGATCTCCAGCAGATCAGCAGGTATCTGCTAGGAAGGAAACACAAGAAGATTTTACCTCTTTTTCCCTTGCAAAACTGAGCCTAGCAAAGCAGCTCAGTGAGAATTGGAGGTGGTGGGGCAATCTGATGTGGTGCTAATTCTAAAATCCTCCCACTCAAATGAATTGTTCCTGASAGTTGCTAGATAGCTCTAAAGGCTCTTGCAATACCTTAAGTCCACCCCAGCTTGACAAGTTGCCAGACTTCAGCCATATTTCTCAATGGGCTCTGCAACAAAAGCAGCATGTGGCTGCTGGGTGCTGGAGGAACTGAGTGAGCAGTATGGGAATCTGACTGCTCTGCTCCCTGTGCTGTCTGCCATACCCAGGTGCTGCCAGTCTCTGCAGAAGAGATGGAGGAAATCACAGCCAGTGCAGGCTGCAGAGCCAGTCCCCTGCTCTACCTCTCCCAGGACTCGACTGTGGATTTTCTCAAGCCAGTGAAAATTCAGCTGCCCCTTCCACCCGGGATCACAGGTCAGCTTATTCCCAAAACTGACAAAGAGAAAATTGACAAAAAGCCTTATGTGGAAAACCACAAATGGAAAGCTGAGAATTTTGTTTGCCTCTCCTGTTGTTAATAAAGCTYCCTGCTTTTCCTGCAGGAGYAGCAAGGTGTGTCTGCTTGAGTATRTGCTGGTGCAGAGTGGTGTGAGCTATCGGTAGTTCAGGTCCATCAGATCAATGCTGGGGTTCACAGATCAGACAAGCTGGGAGAATGGTCTTGGCAAATGGATTTCTTTGCCGAACCACCTRTGTATTTAAACTGCTGGTTTTAGTATGGTGGATTGCAGAGGCACTCCTGCCCATCGAGGAGATACTTTGTAAAAGGTCTTTGATTCATGATTGGGAATAGCTTGAAGCAGGAAATGAACATAACTGCCTCCAGGGGTCTGTCTTCTCTTTTCCTTGCTGATGGATCAGGTGRCAAGCCACTGCAGTTAAAAATGTATGATCGTATTCTACTCTGAAATGTAGATGCTAATGCTAAGCCGTRTTCTACTCTGAAAACTGCTAAAAACAGCCTCAGTCATGCCAGGGATTCCTGTTTGCTGAATACCCTGCGACTCCTATTTTCTTTGACTTCTCCTGGCTTTCTTATGAAGAAATGCACAGCCTTCATTGTAACACTACCTAATATTTGTATGTCTGAAGTGCATCAGGATTGAAAAGTCTGTGAGATGTACATTGGAAAGAGATAGAACTTAGTTAATAACTGTAGATTTTAGTAATGAGAATTGTCTTAATGAATCTGTTGGTGGGAATCAGCACGCTATCATTTTAAATCTGCATATTTYGGCAGAATATCCCAAAAGCAAAGGRATAGYCTGGTCCTTTTATTGCTGCTCTTCTTTGACCAAAGTTCAGTCCTGGATGCTGAAGAGAAGGCTATGAGCCTTAATTTGGTGGCTTTAAAAAGTAAATCACCCAAACTTGTGGCTGCCTTTGTAAAGCCATGAATGAAGGCTTCTGCTGCATAAAGTGTCTATTGATCATTGGTGTCTTTAGGACTAAATTTGGATCGGTCAAAGCTGCATATTCTCCATGGTGATCTGGAGGGCCAAACYTGGAATGATATTACCAGTGAGGTGGTGCTGGAATTCACCCATCTTTATGCAGTGTTTGAAGTCACTCACTTCTCCTGGTAAGTGCAGAATTAGTCCAGAGGAAAAGATGAGATGATACTCTGCCTTGCATTTCCCACACTCTGACCTAAGGCCATGATATTAGCTCTGTTTGCTCTCTTTTCCCTTTGCAAGTCAGGCTCAGCTTAGCACTCTGTCTCTACCTGTCCTTCTTTACAATCCTATGGGTGTGGCACTGGCATCTCTCTCTGGGTAGGATCCCTCCCTTTTGTTAATTCCTTTTCTCCAGGTACTGGCTGTGGTACACAACCAAGACCTACATTGGAGGCATTGCCAAGAAGGTCTACGAGCGGCTGCGTCTGTACCAGGTGAACTTCATTGCACTGCAGAGGAAGAAGGACCCCGAGCAAGTCCTGCTGCAGTGTGTCCCCAAGCACAAGGTGTGATCTGGGTTGCACTGCCTTGCTCCTGAGCTTCTCAGGCTTCTCTTTGTAGGGTGTAAAGGCAGCAGTGCACTGAATGGTCCTGTTCACTTCCAAGAGTCATGGCTGGGATATGCTGTCACCATGCTGTTGGTGGTGTGATACTGACTCACAGGAAGCTGAGGGAAGGAAAAGCCTTATTCTATGCAGTTGTAAATGCCATGCATTGATTTCCTCCCCTGTGAGGCCTGAGGACTGGACTGCTGAAATCAGCTCAGCCACAGTTACTGGCCATGTATGTACTGTTATCATCGAGCAAACATGAGGCAAAACATGTTGTCTTACATTTCAGTCAAAATTTACACTTGTCTGACATGGGCTAGTGGTGTGGGCAGCAGCACTGCTCCTTTTTTCAGCTGGAGTGGTTAGAAATGATACTTTTCCTGATGTTCCTTTGCTGTTCACAGTTCAAGCAGTGAAACAGAACATATGAGCACTCCTTAATCTAGCTTAGTGCAACATCATGTTCATTTGTGCTATGAGTGTGAGTTAATCTGGCTGACTTTGTAGGGAAGGAGACGGGAAATGCTCACATTCTCTTCTACTGCCTCTGTCCTAGGGGTATCAGCCCTCAGCAGTGCTGCTTTTGATTAGTGTGAGTATGAGTGTGCAACTGTGTTTGGAGAACGTGTYCCTTGTCAGGCAGTGCAGCTGAGGTGAGGTGAGGGTTATTTCATCAGACTGCCACTACTGGGCTGCATATTCAGCTCTGCATAATCCTCTGCTCTGGTCGTTCCTTCTCTTTATCTGTTCTCCTGTATTGAAATGTCCTGTGGACACAAACATCTGCAAGGATTTTTATATCAGGTTCTGGGCTAAAATTGTCTCCAGATGAGGCAATAATGACACTCAGAGTGAGATTGTTGTACATGTGTATCTGTATTCCTGCTWGGGATGGCCATGGGGTAACAGAAGTTTACTGTCACAAATAGAAGAATCTAACCTGACTCTTGCACTGCCACAGTGATCACAGGTTGCAAAGTCAAAATGAGCTTTCTGGTGTCTGTGTGCTATTGTAGTATGTGTCTTTTTGCAGAGAAAATRTATTTGAATAGCATACTGTGAGTGGGACATGGTAGCAAATAAATCCCTCCCTGTCTCTGAAGTTAAAAAGTCCTGTTAAAGATAGATACATTACTGAAAATGCTTTTCAATGGGTCTTTGTTCCTTTGTTTGCATCCTTTTCATGTAAAATGGTCTTCCCCTGTTGAAGGTGAGAGGAACATCATGGGAATAGAAACATGAATTGGGGACAGATGTGCTTCAGATCAAACACAGGGTCCCGTGCTGTTGTCCTTGTCAGGTTGACCCAGTGCTGAAGAAGCTGCAGGACCGCTATCGAGGGCCTGAGCCATCCGACATGGTGGAGATGTTCGAGGGAGAACAATTTTTTGCAGCTTTTGAGCGAGGCATCAGCATTGATATGGGTATGGCAGTACTGAGCTCATTCTGCTYCTACCTACTTCTTGTCCTTCTCTGGCCCTAGACAGTTTCTGCTGTGGGTTGAACTCCTCCACAGCATTCCTCTCTGTCTCCAGCTCACCCACTACTCACAGCAGCCAGGCTCTGGACACTGAGTTTGYCACATTCTCTGGTCACACAGCTTTTCTGGTGATAGAATTTTCCCTGTGAAAGTGCTGTTTGCAGACTTTCATTTCTTCTCATGCTCTTGTAAACCTGCAGAGGGCAATAGCCAGGTGGGTTTATTTTACAGCTGATCTGCTTCTGCAGCTAGCTATGCCYTTTTCCTGGCATCTCAGACACCACACTGAAATACCAGTGGTGATCTAATTAGTGTTGCCCATTTCTGAGAGAACACAGAAGGTATTTCTGAAATAATTCAGAGCAAAGAATTCCCCCTATTAGAAGAGAAGGAAAGATAAGCAGGATGAAAACTCAGGATTATGTTTTATGCCCTGGCTCACCAGCTGTGAAATGAGCCATTTTCTGCAAAACCTGAACACAAGAGTTCAGTTTCATTGGTGTAAATTAAATGCAATTTAAAGTGCACTGRTCTTTCAGTGGAGTTCATGAGGCCRKAGTCTGTCCCTTATTCTGATTTTGGCTGGACTGTAATACATACATACATGAATGTTGTACCTGATTACATTTTTTCCCYTTTACCTCTATTTTGCACCCCTGTAGAAATGCTGAGAACAGACCTATTTTTGTGCATTACAGGGTGCTGTTGCAGTTAATTCTGCCCTCCAAGGGACAGAATGAAGTGAGATGGAAAGGAAGTGCTGAGGTTGAACTTCATTTCATGTGTCATCCTGCCTTGCCTTCCATTCTTGAATTCAACTCTACCTTGTGGTCATTCTCTTTTTTCACCTGTAGGACCTGCCTTCTCCACAGTCAGTGTTTTTTCTGCTTCCCTGTGCCACTCAAGGGGAAGGAAGGGTTGCAATTCTTTCAGCCATAAGCAGATGGAGTAGTTAGCAGCATGGGGTCTGCTAGTGGATCGTGGGCTGTTGGACAGGCTTGAAAARCTGCACGCTTTTCTCCACAATTTGAATGTTTGCTGCTTCTCTGCACAGATCGCCCTGACTGTGTGGATGGACGTCTCTCATTTATTTTTTACTCCCACTTGAAGAACATGAAGGAAATCTATGTGACCTCCCCAGTGGACAGGAAAGGCCAAGCTGTAAAAGGCCAGGTGAATAACCAATTGCATTGACTTCTTGTTTCTTCTTTCATCATCATTGCTTTTACAATACTCCTCATAATACTYGCTGGAGTGCTGGACATGACTGTTTTTTCCTACCCTCTTTCTCTAGCTTTGCATTTTACTGACTAAACTCTGACTAATCAAGGAGTGCAATCTCTAAGGATCAGTCATCACTTAACTGTCTGGTTTACATTCCAGCTATTAATTCTTGGGGTGTTGGCAGAAAGTCCAGCCTTTGTGGCAGAACCTCAGTGCTCCTCCCCAGTTACACGTAATTGGGAGGCCATATTTGTGGGCTGAGGATTCTTTCCCAGACAGAAAAGGCATGTTACCAACAGACTRGGCCACTGTGCTTGAATCAGAGCCTCACCGCATGCTTTCTCTTTGCAAAGGTCTCTTTCTACCGAGGGGCAGTTCCAGACAGCATCCCTGAAGATGCCAGCAGGAGGAGGAAAGGTCCAGACTCCCTCTGGCTCGCTACTCTGCCCATCAAACTGCCTGTGAGTTGTTGAGTTGTCTCCYTATTTTTCACACAAAAAAAATTAATCTAGTTGGGGGAAGAGCATGGCCTTCCTGTTCAGCTGATTTTGAGAATGCRTGCATGGAATGACCGCAAGAAATAGCTGCTCAGCCATGTCATGGTGGAGATTTTCCACTCCCCGTGAGCGAGCTCATCTGAAACGAGAAACATGGAGAGCTGGAAGTGGTCTCCATCTGTCCCGCCCATCTTGCTTGTCAAGCACAGGCTTGTTGGATGGGTGGTCAGAGAGGGTGGATCCTTGGAATGAATGAGGATGCAGTATGCAAGGAAGCTCACTATGATTAAGGGAAGTGTCTATTTGGTTTATAAATTTCTTAGTCACAGAGCTCATGCAGCAGGAAAAAAGAAAGGATTAGAATGAGGTAGTTATGCTGGATTTGAACATTATTGCTGGATTTGAACACAAACATTTGAACATTGAGTGTAGGTATTCTGGTGTGAGCTTTAAAGGCTAGGCTGTATGTTACAGTGAGAAATGCAATTTTTGCTTACGTAATTTAAGTGACATTTGAGAAGCCTAAAACAATGAATACGTTGGTAGGCTGAATGCTTTCCTTCTGATCATGTGCCATGATCTCACATCCCTTTCTGACACACAACCTCAACTATAAAACTAAGTGCTCTCTTACTACTGAGGCAATTATGCTTTGGGGACGTGGCTTGTTTTAAACTGCTCTGTAAATGCAGGAAAGGAAATTTCCGGTGTGAGCTGACTGTGAACATTGGGATTTGATATTTTCCTGAGGCAGTAAGCATTGCTGGTCACTGTCAGTGTAGTCCTCCTTGCTTCTTACAGCCTGACCCTTCATCCCCAAGAACTTCCTTTCTCCCCAGAAGAAGGAAGGAAATTTCAGCATCCTCTACGAAAACAGATGGTAGAGGAAAGAATGTTCTTTCTCTCCCTTCTCTGTGACACAGCAACTGAAACCCCGCTGGGATGAGAACCCCAGTCCTCTGTAYGGCTTCTCCTTTCCTCCCTTGAACCTGGGCAATGCTGAGACSGGCTACCTGACCCAGGCCAACCTGCTGAGCATCGCCAGGCGTGTGGGATCCGACTGGCAGAGCATCGGCCTCAACCTGGGCCTGACCTATCAGCAGATTGAGCGCATAGGATACAATAACAGGTGAGATAGGACACAGTAACCAACAGCGATACATTGTAGCTACCTGTTTATCTACACCATCACTGTGATGGTATAAATCAATGCTTGGCTGGTTCAAAGTTCTTCCACTGTAATTGTTTCCCTAGATAGACAATAGGTTGACTAATGGTTCTTCTGAAAAGAATACCTTTTATAATGGGACACTGATTATTTTCTCTTGCCAGAATAAAACAAAGCTTTTTTGTTTGAAAAAGCAAAATTGGGAAATAACAAACCTGATGAGCTTTGTAGTTCAGCTGAGTTGCATTCCTGTTTTGCTTTGTGATTGGATTCCTGGCCAGACTCCATCTCTTGCAATGAGAAATGATCTATGGCTTTAATTGTGAATGTCATCAWTATTCAAAAAGAGCTTGTGGTACATCATGAGATGTGCAGCCTGACCAAAAAGCCAAATCAGTAGGAGAGAATTAGACTTGCTATGATCAAACTACTGTTCCTGTGAGGAAATTATATTCAAAAGCACAATGCCTTAATTTGGTATTTCCATTAGGAAAATAGAGAAACATTGATGCAGGAGCTACAGCTCCTGTATGCTGGCTGGGGAAGAGGCAGGCCCACTGAGTGCTTTGTGTGTCTGGATGGCCTCTTTAAGGCTCTCATCATGGACTGAGACTTGTGTAAGGTCTCTTTGGTTTGCCACTCAGGAAAGTGTGTTGGTTACTTCTGTCCTTCCTCTTTTCCTCAGAGAGGAYCTCAATAAGCAGATCCTGGACATGCTTTTCTCATGGGCTCAGCAAAACTCAGAGGACCCTGACTGTGTGACCAAGCTGATTGCAGCCATGAAAGAGAGCGGCCGCCAGGACATYGCCGATGAGGTTGAAGCCATCATTAAACTGGGGCAGCAGAAGTACAGYGAGTCCATCCGCCGGGTGGGCCTGGCACAGGACAGCAGCACTGAGGACTCTGCAACAGCTATGGTGTAGCACCTAGCAGAGAAAAATGGGGTTTGTAAGGGACCTCTCTGTGTAGCCATGTGACAGTGCCTGGGGGCTGCTGGCTCCTCAAGGGCCAATGTCTCCCCGAGGAGCTGGGCATTGATTCTCTTGGCTCTSTGCTCCACTTCTGTCAATCCCAGAAAGAGCACATTTATGAACCGTTTTTCTACTTCCACTTCATGCCCTTCAGCTTTAGCTTTCAGAAAAGTGGAGAAGTTCAGAGACTGAAGCATCTGTCAGCTGAATATTGTTGGATTAATTAATACTCCTRTTACATGTATTTATTTATAACTTATTCCTGAAACTGTGTTCTCCTGGAAACACTGGATGGGAGCATTTGGGTCCATTTGTGCTCCGGTGCTTGATGAGAAAGTAGAGGTACAGTCATGCTATGAAGGCCTGTGATACAGTGGGAACTGTTCAGCCATTTTTGTTAATGATGTGTTTTGCTCACATGAAAATGTGAACTGTGTTCCCCATGAAAATGTTTTCTRTTTTTTTCCAAATCTCTTCCAGTTCGCTTAAAAAAACCCTAAATATTTGTGGGGAAGAAAGAAGAAACAGATTTCTAGAAAAATTGTTCTTTTTTTTTGGTTTTGCTTCAAAAGCTATCATGAAACAAGTAGGCTGTTGCACCTGCAAGCACCTTTGTAGATGAGACCTACACCCTGGTGATCTTTGACAAGGTTCCAGTTTTACTTTATGAAAAAAAAAAAAAAATAAATCAATGACCTGTTCTGGGAGAGCCTCTGATTTAAGTGAAATTAAAATTTCYCTTAAAGTTTCCAAGGGGTAATACTCACATTCTCCCAGTGAAATGTGACTGTTTAACAGTGAAGGTGTGACCGACCCCTGCTGAAGTTTGGTGAAAAGCATGACTTAAATTTGCATTTTAAAAACTGGTCTGACCAGCTGTGAAATCAGGCAGTGATTGTGGGTTTGGCATGAACTGTGCTGAGCTAAATTCCCAGTTTTTCAGCCTGAATATCTTGTATAAGGTGTAAGCATTTACTGCTTTTTAGCTGCTCAATCACTGATTACTGAGGTGCTCTTCTCTTCCTGTTCCCCATCTCATAATGGCCCTCAGTTAATGACCCATTAATGACGGTGGAAAATTACATGGAACATTTTGAAAGACTACTGTCACCTAAGTAAATTCAATTCTTTCCAGAGAGGTTTGAATTCAGTGTAACTCTCTCTAAGCATTACTTGAAGGGCTGTTCTCAGTCTGAAAAAATAGAAGTGTGTTTAAAAATGCCAGGTTGCAACACCCTAAGTCGGTGTGCAGTTGCAGGTGGGATAAATCCTGGCGTTTTCTTCCCCTTGTGAAGAATCATCAGTGACTTCCCTGGTGCTGCTTCAGACCTGCCATCAGTATTATTGAATGAGAGGTGTAAAACCATYCTGCTTTTTTTCTCATTTAAGGCTGTTCTAACATCTCAGGCTACAGAGTGYTTACTGTCCAGTCAAGAGCACTGGACAAGGACTTGCAGACAGGTGTTGTCACCATGGGTCTAGGAACTTCCTCAGATATGCTTCCTTAGGTTGTGCTGCCCTCAAGTCTCTTGTTGGGTTCAAGTCAGCAGTTCTTTTTTGAATGTACATTTTCTCTTGTATTCTGTGTCGTGTGTTCTTGTTTGTAATTTTCATAGATACAAACAAGGTATTTGTTCTTTTCTCCAGTTTTGGAGAAGTGCATTTGAGCATGTGGCTCTCACTGGGAATAAAATAAGCACTTAACTGTTTCACAGTGTGGTCTGCTCTTCCATAAATGCCTTGAGTTAGATGGAGTCTAGTAATGCCCAAACCCTGGGCAGTATCATCAGTATCTTCAGGATCTGGGCTGATAACTTAAGGAAAGATAAGTAACCACCCTATTGTTATCTCCAGTCTTTCCCTGTTGAATGGCAGCTGCTGGCTGGGGCTCCTTGCAAGCATCAGGCTTTCTCCTTGAAGTGACACCAAAGCAAGCACCCAGCTGAGGATACGAAAGTGCTGGTGGGAAATCAGAGCAACTGTTCAACTGCTCTTTCCTCAGCAGACTTGGCAACAAATATTTGAGCTGGATGAGAGTCAATGGAAAACATTATTTTAAGGTGTGTTATCTTTRTCAATAATCTCTTTGAGGCTGCTTTAGAAAAACAGTCTTTCATAAGCCGGTAGCTGCTATGGCTGGTAACTGTTGCAGTACAGGGTTGAAGTGGCAAAAGGAATAACTAACCTGGCATTTATCTTTTGAATCGAAATATGGCATTCCTTTCTGACTTTTTTCATGAATTCATCACGTATGGGAGTAGTATCTTTCCCTTTCCAGCTATCTGGCTTTCCCTGCTGCCTATTATGCACCTACAGATGTTTTGGCAGTTTTTATGGTTTTACTGTGCATGATTCTGGTATGTCCAAAATTCTCCCAAACAATTTTTTTACCAGGAAAAGCCTACTTACAAAAAAAAAGTTTAAAAGTAAAGCAAGAAATTGTTTGGGAGTAGGAACAATATTTTTTCTCCTGTTTTGCTTGTAACATTTGTAGCTCTTTAACTCTCATAATTATGCCCTTTGCTACTTTATAAACTCATAGATYTCCAGCAGAATGACCTGGGAAGTGAACAGTGTGTTTCCCATATATCACTTTCTACTTCCAGTTTCTTCTAACCATGACAGTCCTCTTGCTGCTAGGAGACAGATCCAGGCAAGATGCTTCCAACCCCTACAAAGAGTAATAAAAAAAAATGCAGACAAATGAAAGCCCAGGCAAAGCTCAAATCAGTTTATTAATTCCATAAAAAAATACAAGGGAAAGCCAGATTGTATTCTGCAGGGGGTTAAACTGTTTACACAGTCCTGTCAGTTAAATGCTGTGTAATTCCCAGCAAAAGACCTGAAATACAAAGTTGAGAGTGCGCCCACAGGGGCTGTGTTCAATTTGTCTGTTCACTGTGGGCAGGCATCAATACTGTAAAACTCAGCACATCCATAGGATTGCTCTGATAAGGGGAAGGAGATCCCTGTGGTCCATTGAGGAGTGGATGGTTCAGCCATCATGAGCTTGATGCCAAAACTGAGRGAGCATTAGAAGTTACCCAGTTTATAAGATTTCCTGCTGCTTGSTACACGCTCATGTCCATACTTGATATTGTCATACTGCTGAGTTTTTTAAAAGGGAAAGGAAATCTGACTGTCCTTAAATTCACTGCTTTCCTTCCAAAAGAAGATCACCCCATGTTTTCAGCCTGTAAAGCAAGAGTAGCTTTCAGTGGGAAAGAAGTGGGGCTGATTTGCAGTCACTGGTGCATCAGAACCCCAGCCCAGGGCTGCCTCAAAGATAGCCCACCATGCTTATGAGCTGGTATTGTTAAAATGAAGAAAACAGCATTTGCTGCAGTTAAGTGTGTGAGTTCATTTCCTGAATGCCACAGAAATAAACTGTATAAAAAGCACTGTTATTCTGTAAATCTGCATGTCTTGAAAATCCATGAGGAGGGTTTGACCCTTGTTCCAATTTTCATCTACCTTGAAAGAATTCGGTGACTGGGAAATGTAGAAATCAGGCAAGCACCATGACCATGCCTCTATTCTTCCTGTCTTGCAATAGGTCTGTAGGTTGAACCCATCCAGAAGTTTGTTTTGGGAGGCTGGGGCTAAGATCCTTCTGCTTGGTTTGCTCATTGAGCACCAGTGCAATTCTTATCTTTTCCAGACAGGAGAKAGTGGAACTGGAAAATGTGCAAGGGGAAGGAAGGATGCCCACAAATGAGTACTACAGAGTACTTGTAACTCTTCTTACAGCAAAGTATTGCATCTCCTGGGAAAGGATGAAGTCTGTGAATATATGGTTGCCATCTTCTGTTTCTCAACTAGGTGGCACCAAATGAAATAGTCCACTGTCACCTGCAAATCAGCAAAAGTGGGTACCTTTTCCCCCACTATGCATAGTTCTGATGCTGACTCTTTGCTGTGAGATGTTTGAGGCCAAAAGATAAATGTCGTGTTCAGAGAGTGATTGATTMAATTGGTGGAGAAACAGATCCTCTAAAAAGCAAACAAAAATCGTGTGAAGAAGAGACCTGCCTGATGAGCCTGGGTGGTTAGGCTTCTAATTCTGCTTTGTTGGGCTGATGGAGAGAAGCTTTAGATTACAGTGAGAAGTAGGACAGGAAAGCTGGATGAGGGAGGTGGTAACAGGATAGCCAGGGGAGGACATGAGCTTAGGTATGAATCTTCAGTGTGCTGCTTCTTYAGCCACATCCTTGGAGTATTTTACTTTCTCTGGAAGCAGCAATGGTTCAGGACAAATGTTTTTGTTTTTCTTCCCTCCAGGCTGGAGAAAAATGGAAATCCTTGTGATTCTTAGCATCTCCCCAAGGCCAGAGATGAGAACAAGCACGGCTTGTGATATTGATTATAGCTGCTCCCTGTCAACATTGCAAGTTTTTGTCTCCCGGTGTCTGCACAGCCTTCATGTATTGCYGAAGCATCAGGTTGAGTGACAATCCTGGTGAGGCTTTCATCCTGGTGCATTGAAAGCAGCAGGAAAATACGGTGTCTCGCCCTCAAAAATCCCCACAACAGATGATTTGGTGAGGTTTTCATCCTGATGCATTGAAAGGAGTAAGAAAATATGGAGTCTTCACCTCAAAAACCTGTTACAAGAGATGATTTGATTGCAGTCTGGGCAGAGTAAAGAAAATCCTGCCACTTAAACAGGCTWTTTTGTGACAACTGCTCTGCACGAATGATGGCTGGAAGGCAGAGGGAGTCAGAAATGGATCCATCAGCTTTTTGGGGCCTTAAAATAACATGGCCCTGAAGGAGCTGGCTGCAGCTCTTGGTGAGGTGGCAAGCCTGGGAACTGTGACTCTCCCCGAGGTCCAGCTTTTTCACCCATGGTGAGGTGACAGTGTCCTCAGCATCCACTTCACCCTCCATCCTGGCAACACGGAGACATCTAACCTTTCTGCCCCCCAAGAAACAGCAAAACAGGTTACTGCCAGTGCAGATTTCCCACAGTTGTTTGTCAACTGCTGAAAGGGGAGACAAACAAATGAGCTATGGAGGGTGCCCTTCAACTGCACTTTTGGGCCATACACCCCAAGGAAAAAAGTGATCAGTGCCTCATAAATCCAACCCCACCTCTGCATGGGGACAGACATATATGGTGGGAAGCTGTGGGTTGTTTTCTCCCTGGGTTAAGGGGAAAAGCCCTGCTGAAAGTCTCCCAAGGCAATAGGTGGCTGCAGCTGCAGGCTCCCTGCCAGCYGCCCAGAGTGGGATCTGGAGGCTGATCTCACAGCCAAGACAGCGCCATTCATCAGCACTCAATAAACAAAAGTGCCTCGCTGTTTTATCCCGGAGATAAGCATGGAGGGCATGAGATTGCTTTCCCTTGTGCTGTCTGTGCTGAGCGTGGGAGCTGTGTTGGCTGCCAAAGGAGCCAAGGCACTGCTGCTGTGGCACACGCTGTGGACGGGCAGGGAGCGGGAGCCGCTGGGTGCCAGGCAGCCCTGAGGCTGGAGCCTCACAGCTACTGGGCACTGCAAGATGCTGCTGCTTGCTGGAGGCTGCCAGCCCTGCAGCTRGGCCATGGTTTAAGCCACCTCCATGACATGTTACTCATTAGCACTCCAGGGTCAACCTGGGTGCTTTAAAAGTCACTTACAAAAGGAAGAAAATGCTACTTTATTTTCTTTTTGCACACACTTTTGTGCCTTGAGCATCAAGGACTTTATTCCCACTAGCTGTTCAGCACTTGAATCAAATAGCTACTAAGAAGAGGTCTACAGCCTCTTTCCAAGGACTGATGGCCAGAGAGGACACCAGCATGGTCTTGGGAACAACACAGCCAAGTTTGGGGTTAAGCTGTCCCCTTTTTGCACTCCCTAGCTGCATTCACATGCTCTCTCACTCCTGTAATATCAAGTAYCTGCACAGAAAATGAAACTAGACCTGCTGGTTCAGTGCTTTCTGGGTGCTTCCTGCCATCCAAGCCAATGGCCARCTCATTTTATTCATTTTGTTTGGCTGTACCATGGATGCCTCCCCTAACACTTCTGTGCAATTAGCTTTGGCAACACATCCTGTGGTCCCAATGGAGAATGAGATCAGGCTTGGTTGAGATCGATTTTTCCAGAAAATGATGTTGACTGGTGCTAATTACATTACTGCCTCTTCAATATTTATCAGTTAAATTGTCTGCCACTGCTCTGAGGATCATGTCCAGAATGGCCACCAAGCCAAGGRACCCGTGTCCAAGCTTGTCCAATTTTACTTTTTTAAGCGTTGGTTTAGTAACCACACTCATCAGGCACTTGGGGATTTCACTGACACCCTACAATTCATTAAAAACGAAAACAATACAAATGGGGAAGGAAACTGAAAAGCCAGACCTCATGAAAGCCTCTTTCTTTGCAGCAGGCTGAACTTGACCCATGTCCTTAAAGAGCTGAACCAGCCCACGGCCACTCTGGCAAGTGGGCTGAAAGCAGTGCGGGATTTTGTCACTCATACAGGACAAGCTTTGTGACAAGCAAAGTACAGACCTGGTATRACGCTCCCGTGCATGCCACGATGACAACAATGTTGCCTCGACAGGAGGTCCTGAGCTAGGCTCTTCACCTTGTATCAGACACAGACAGCGCTGCTTTTGAAGCTCCATTTTGTACCAAGCGGTTTAAAATCTCTTTTGTGTCTGTCAGGGGAAAAAAATTCTGTCTGAAAGCACAGGAAACCTTGACAACCTGGCACTCGCTGAATGCGAACTTTCTTCCTCTGCTTCCTTTTTTTATCCCCTCTCTTAAATGCTGCCGGAAGAAACAGGTCCTTTGTGCCATGCAGGTTACAAAGAGCAGTTGTTTTTATGCAGCAGAAGCAAAAATAAAAACGTGTGATTGCAGTCCTCCTGAGACGCAGCACAAAGATGGACAGTGTTAACCTCTTCTTTGCCAGGGGATGGTATTGTCCTGCCAGCACATCTATGCTGTGATAAACAGTAACACCTGTCAGCCTCGAGTCACACTGAGTTCAGTTCAGCTTTCGACTGAGAGGSTTCAGCACTGTGAAACCCACTGATGCATTTGCAGGGCAGAGTAGGGCTGTGCCACCACCAAGGAAAGGGGTGGGAAGCAGTTTTGCAGCAGGGAATGGGAAGGGTTGACCACAACTCCCCGATACTGTTTCACTGTTCCCCGAACTGGGGGAGTCCCGCAGCAGCCCAGGCCTTGCTCCTGAGACCACAGCCGAGCCTGCTAATCACAAAAATCAATGTCTACCAATGGCGTGGGGGCTTTCCTGGGGGATAGCAGGCAGCACAGCTCTGTKATCCAATGGCCACAGCTGGTCGGCCTGTTATTCCTGAAGGGAGTGACAGAATCACAGAACATGCTGAGTTGGAAGGGACACACAAAGATCATCGAGTCCAATTCCTGCACAGSACACCGCCAGSAGTCACACCACGTTCCTGAGAGCATTGTCCAARCACATCTTGAGCTCTGTCAGGTTTGTGCKGTGACCACGTCCTGAGGGATCTGTTCCAGTGCGCAGCCACCCTCTGGTTGAAGAACCTTTTTCTACTCTCCAACCTAAACCTGCCCTGACACACCTTCGGGCTGCTTCCTCGGGTACAGATGACAGGTTTATTAYTTGTCCCCGCTGCCGCTGTCCCCGTGTTCCGCCTCGCAGGATGGCTGTGGGCGGGGGMGCTCTGCGGGCACGGCGGGGCACCCCCGGGACCCCGCTCCCGGCCGGGGAAGGCGGCGGCGATTCCCGGGAGCCCCGGCCCGCGTTGCCATGGGGATGCGGCGGCCGCCCCGGCGGGGAGGGACCGGCGGCGGCGGTGGTTCCTGCGCCGAGAGCGGCCGGAGGGGGCAGAGCTGAGCCGGGCCGGGCCGCGCCGCGACAGGAGCTCCGCACCCCGCGCCGCACCGTCCCCGGCCCCGGCGGGAGCTGCCGCCGCCGCCGCCCCGGTAAGTGCGGGCACAGCCCTTTGCCGGCCCTCGGGAAGCGCCGCCGGGGGTCTCGACAACCCTCCTGCCGCCGGGATGCAGCTCTTTTATCCCGGCCTGGCCCCTGCTGCCCCGGCCCCGCCGCCGCTTACCCCGGCCCCTCATCCCAGGGGTGTCCTTCCTGCGGCCCCGGGCCCCGGCGGGCTGTTTGCTCGCCCCGGAGGGCTGTCTGCTCGCCCCGGGGAGCTGCGGGCTCCGCGGGCTCCCCACGTTCCCTCCTCATCCTGGAGCTGCGGGCTCCCCTGGCCACTTCCCCTCGTCACGCTGGGGGTTTTACGTGTCCCCAGCCCCTCCCCTCGTCCCCGGGCTGGGGTCCCGCTGCCTGCGTGGGGCTCCCGGGGCTGATCCGCTGCCTTTGCCGCGGTGCGGGGATCGCCCTTGCCGGGCGCGGGGGCTGCAGCCGCCGTGCTCCTTCCTCTGCCCGCGCCGGGGAAATTGCGGGTGACACGTGTGCGGCTCCGCCGAGCCCCTTAGTGCCGCGGAGCTGCAGCTTTTTATGTTGAAAGCGATTTCGGACTTTCTCCGGGGCTTCTGATTTCTGGGGCGATTCGTAGGGATTCCCTGACCGCCCAGGTCGCAGCGCAGGTCCTGCACCTAAGCCCCTCTGAGCTCCTTCCAGACTCTCCTAAGCCAGATCTTGTGCCTCTTTCAGGTAGGTCAAGGTTACTGTGCTCATCGTTCAATGGATGGGGAAAGTGTAAATATGGACAGACTGTGGGATTTCCTCAAGGTCACCCTGGGAATTGGACCCCAAGCATCTCTCTTGCTGCACCCTCTGCAGCTGCTGGGCTCCTACTGGGTGAGGGTGAAGTTGTGGAAATCGGATTTTCAAGTGCCTCAGCCTCTTTTCCTGCAAGGTTTCTCAGATTTTGGTTTATACACCTTGGCAGGTGTCAGGGTAACAAATGTCAGAGCAGGATTCCAGCTATATTTACTTGGCCTAATGTCTTTTAGCTATTAAATGTTTACAGTCAAATAGTGGGTGTTTTTACCATAGTATGTTTACCTCCRAGAGTCTCGCTGCTGCTGGGGTTTGGACTCCGTGGTATTGCTGCTGCTGTTGGGATGGTATCTGCAGTGATTTTGATCACTGCAAGTAACTGTGGCTTTGCCTCTCAAGAACTTGCTTCTTGGCAGTGGCAAGCAAGAAGCAACTGAACTAAGAGTGGCATTCAGCTGATAACAATGTATGGCACGGGACTCTGGCGGTGCTTGTCTTCTTATCCTCCMCTTGTGTTTAGCAAGCTGTTATAAACAAAAGGTGTGCGCAAGGTTTAATAGTAGGAGTTCCTCTAACCTCTTCCTCYGAAAATAAACATCAGGATTTAATGAGGGTTTACCCCTTTGAATGTCTTGCCTGTAGGATTTTTAACTGCGTGCTACTACTTGTAGTTGTTCATACAGGTGCAGTTTTTGTCCTGGTGCTGTGCTCTTGGGCTCATCKGTTCACCGAGTGCCTGTTGTAGAAAGGAGGGTTGTGTTTTGAGGTGGGTGGTGATCCATGGCAGAGATGGATGGCTGAGTTGGAAAAGGGATCAAATCTGTGTCGTAAATTGGAGCCCTCCTCTGCACAGAAGGAAAGTCTGCAGTCCTGTTTCATGCCCAGCAATCTTGTTAATGTCTTACTAGGATGCCAGAGCCATCGAACATCTTCCTGCTGCCGTTTTAAGAAGGGGTAGTGTGCTGTATTAAGTTACAAAAAGGTACAAGTCACTGGCAGACTGTCAAGACCATTTGCTCCCTTTTTCCTGCCAAGATGTAAATTAGTGGGCAAGATGGGGGAAATACCTACCTGGCTGGCCAAGGTGACAGCAGCATGTCCGTGGGGAAGCAGCGCCCTGCTCACTTGTGCATCATGTTTTGTCTTGTAGGTCTCTGGCAGGGCAAAGGTGTGATGGAGAGAAGGCACCGAGGTGCAGTGACTGGTGTTTGKTGTGCCGTGAAGCCTAGGAGCCGTGAGGATTTGGAGCTGTGCTCTGATAAGGGAAATCTGGGGAAAGTCTTGCTTAGAAGCTGTAAGCATTTCATGTGCCTATACAGTTGTTCTTGCGTAACTGTTGTCATCCTRAGAATTGTGAAACAGTAGGAGGGAGAAATTTGTCAGAGCAGGGCAGCTGTGTTTCTAGCTGGGAAAATGTGCTGTGTTTAGCTAGARCAAAACCTGTGCGTAGAGCCACCGTCCCTGACCTGGGACCCAGTTCTGCAGGCTCCCCTGAGAACAGTTTTCCTTGAGGGTGAAAGCCCAGTGTAGAGAGTGCAGTTGGTGCAGGGTGTGTGATGACCATGCAGTGCTGTGAAAATAGTTAAGTAGCTTTGGCACTTGCTGAGGAGCACACCGTGTTGACTGCTGGGTGTGCAGCTGCAGTGTGAGCTGCAGGTTGTGCCCTGGGTGGGGGAAATGTCAGGAGCCCCAGGAAAGGGACTGTGACCTGGTGCTGACCCTTTGSACAGCRATGRRCACAGGGATACAGCAGGAGCTGATGACTCAGCAAGAAGACCCCAGACTGTCTGGGTGCACAAACTGCATGAGTATAAAAGCTCAGGAATGCATTTTGTTGGGGGTCCCTTCCCAGAGGCACCAGCTTGAGCTGGTTTTGTGTGACTGCACCACGATTAAATTACTCAGACGAYTCAGACATCTGAGACTGCAGTGGGAAACCCAGAGCTGAGCCAGTAAGGAAACCCTGTCTGACTGTGTGAGTGTGGGGTGTGCAGGGAGCCAAGAGGGGCACCCATGGGGTCACTGGAGCTGCAGGCTGTGAGGGGACTTCAGTCCAATCAGGGAAAGTCTGGAGTGRTGGGAGTGTGACTGMCAGAGTGGCTCCTGCATGGTCAGACAGGGAAGCTTCCTTAACACACTCTGGGTTTTATCTGAATAACCTGCAGCTCTGAGGGTGGCTGATGAGTTGTTTCTTCTTCCTCAGCTAGCAGTACCTGGAGGTGGTGTAAGGCCACATGGGCTCCATCTTGGGTCCTCATAAGGGTCAGGTTTTGTGTTTGCTGCTGGGCTGGCAGCTGCTTGTTTTACAGATGTTGGTAAGCCTCTGGACTCTCATCCCACTGTGGAAACAAAATGCTCTTGGAGGGTAATTGCCCGGTTCAAAGTAGCTACTGGAAGGTGAGATGTCCTTCTGAAGTCTGAGGGATGAAAGGCTTGTGCAGTGGGAAGAAAAGTTTAGCAATGTTGACCATAACTGCAGAGGCACTCATCCCCTGGTGCCGACTAGCAGGTCTGCCTTGTTCCATGCAATGCTTGCTTTTGTCACTCGATCCCTGGTCTCACTTGCAGGCAGGGAACTGCAAATCTTTTGCACTGCCAACTTTCCAGTGCCAGCAAGATGTCTTTGCACAGGGTGTATCTCTTAATGGGCTGGGTTTATCTGCCTAAAATTGTATTGTGCTGTCAGAATGACATAAAAGAGCTTTGAACTAGGCCCCAAGGGGAAAGGAAAACGGTTGGAAAAACACAAAATATTTTTGTTCTGTTGTTAGGAGAGCCTGGGCTGGGGAGATGATGTGTTACCAAACTGAGTTTGGAATGGCTGGGACAAATGAATTTCCTTGTGATCCTGAGTGCTGCAGTTCTTGTGTGTTATGATGGATGCTAATGTCCTATGAAAGGAGTTTCTGTAGTTTCCCCTTTTCTAGGCTGTTCTAGAACAGGGAGGTATTTCTTCCTAAGCCTGCCTTTTTCCTGGCCTTCCTTTTTAAGACTGTTTTTTCCCCTGTTGTTCTGTTGTGGGTTTGGTTTGGGTTTTTTTGCTTTGTTTTTCCTTAGAATGAAGTTTCTACACAGCTGGTGGCCCATCAGTGGTGTTCCAGGGCTTCACATCTTCACCCTTTACTGGAGTAAGTTGATGAACTCTGGCAGAAAGTGGAGCAAATTTGGTTTGCACCAGTCTGAGCATCATGTGGGAGCCCTCATGCAACAGGAAGAGTCTGATCCCACTGCCTTCTTAGCGTGTCACTTACAARTTTGTTAATGTCCTGTTAGGCTTCCAGTTGGAAATGTCTTTCTCCCAAATGCCTCTGCTCCCCTGTTAAAATCTGCAATACTGTGTAGGACAAATGTCTGTACTGCTCCTTCTACACCAACAGTGCAGGATGGGGAGAATCTGCCTGTTCACAGCATTCTTCTACTGCAGGCACATAAGGACTGATAGTTGTTCCTTTTACATCCATGAAGGCATTCACCTAAATCTTTAACGTATTTTCAGGAAATGCAAAAGCCTGCTTTAACGCCCATGTTTGTGTGGTCAGGCTCTCTTAGAAATGACCAAACGTGTACTACTGGAATTTGGGAGAGATGGAATTGTTGATTACTTATCATGGCAAGTGAGCTGGGGATAGTGCCTGCTGTAGGCAGTGCATTGTTTTTTTGTCACTCTTGAATATGTTGAACACCATGCCTGTGTTCCATGGTGCATTTCTTATAAATATCTGCCTGGACTCCAGCCTTGCTTGAGCCAGTTGTCTTGCCTGTCTACAGTGAGACAGCAGGGATGTGACTGCAGGTGCCTCTTCTCTGCCAGAGRGGTGTCTGAGGTCTAACAGGGCAGCGTGTTTCAGCTTCCCTGGCACCAAGATTTGATGAAGCCATCCTCCTTTAGCCAGGCTGAGTTCTCTGGCTGTGCCTGCTGGGGCTGGGGACTCTCACTTGGCCATATCCAGCCTAACAGTGGCGGCTTGCTAGRGCTAACGCTGTGTTGCTCCAGCTAATCCTAACAGCAGATAAATATTTTTTTTTCTGTCCTCTTCTGTTTGCATTCCGGCACAGAGATAGCAGGAAGGAGGAGGTGGATTGAGCTGTCCAATGCCAAACTTGGATGTTGCTTTAACCTTGCAGTATTGATTGCCTGGTAGTTCAAGTTATTGTGAAGATAAAGTAACAGGAGGTACAAAGGCTTTAGAAAACAAGGCAAAATCCCAGACAAACCTAATGAAAAGACCTTGTCACTCTG